CAACCTCTGGTCCTATAACCAGGGCAACCTCTGTTCCTACAGCCAGCACCACCTCTTGGCATAAATTAAAAACAACCTTGGGTCCTATAACCAGCACAACCTCAGGTCCTTCATCTGGTACAACCTCTGGTCCTATAACCAGTGCCACCTCTGGTCCTACAGCCAGCACAACCTCTGGTCCTATAACCAGTGCCACCTCTGGTCCTACAGCCAGCACAACCTCAGGTCATGCAACCAGGGCAACCTCTGGTCCTATAACTACTCATAGCCCTATTCCGAGTACCAGCACGACCTCTGCTCCTTCATCCAAAATAACACATGGTCCAATAGCCAGCACCACCTCTCGGCATGAATTGAAAACGACCTTAGGTCCTATAACCAGTGCAACCTCAGGTCCTTCATCCGGCACAACCTCTGGCCCCATAACCAGGGCAACCTCGGGTCCTTCATCCGGCACAACCTCTGGTCCCACAACCAGGGCAACCTCGGGTCCTTCATCCGGCACAACCTCTGGTCCTATAACTACTCATAGCCCTATTCCGATTACTAGGACAACTTCTCCTTCATCCAAAACAACACATGGGCTGACAGCCAGCACCACCTCTCGGCTTAAATTGAAAACTACCTTGGGTCCTGTAACCAGCACAACCTCGGGCCCCATAACTACTCCCAGTCCTGTCCCCACCACCAGCACAACCTCTGTTCCTGTGACTAGCGCAGCCCACGTCCCTACTCCTGGGACAACCCTCCTCCCACCCAAGACCACGGGCTGCCGGCCCACGTGCACGTGGACCAAGTGGATCGACGTGGACTACCCGGCCGCCGGGCCCCACGGCGGCGACGTGGAAACCTACGACCACATCATCAGCAGAGGCGAGACCCTCTGCCGGGGGCACGGGGACATCGCCAAGCTCGAGTGCCGCGCAGAGAACCCACCCGGCGTGAGCTCTTCGGACAGGCTGGGCAGGTGGTGCTTCAGCCGTTGACGTGGGCCTGGTGTGCAGGAAAACCGCGAAAACCAGGAGGGAGCCGCAAGCTGTCTGCCCAATACCAGTGCGCGGTGCTGTGTTTATGCCGCACCTACCGACGGCTGCCCGATTGCCCTCACCACCCACACGGTCCCTGCCAAGACGTTTTTCTCCAGTCCTGGTCCAAGCATCCACGAGTCGGGCTCTTCCGTGTCCGCTCTGGTGGTCAGGCTCTTCCCGTGTCAGCCTGCTGTTCAGCTCCGTGGCGCCCTCCGGCCCAACCATGTTCTGCAGATAGGTCGACCAGCTGTATCCCTTATAGTATGTACCTCCCTTGCAGGGCTGGGATCAGCGTGGCCCGGCGCACGGCTTTCGTACAGCCATTGCCGCCAGTTGGATTTAGTCGCTCTGGCTTTGGTGGGCACAGGCTGACAGTCTAGCTGTGTGGCGACTCGGCAACCCTTCTTATTGGGAGTGTATTTTTTCCCATTTCACATGTGGGTGGAGACGGCCCCTCTGCCCTTGGGACCACGGCTTGCGAGACGGTGCGCGCCTCCTCCAGCTCACGCGCGTGGCGATCCCGCCCTCCCCCGTCCCACAGCGGTCCGTCATCTACCCCGCGGCAGGACAGACCTCGGACGGAGGGCCATGCTATTATCGCCCTGTGCGGCCTAGGGGACTGGCCAGGTGGCAGTTTTGGGGCGTGGGACAGTGCCTGTCCCTCCAGCACGCCGCACCCTTCCCCGGTGACGTCCCCTTCGACGGCCAGCTCTCGGCCCGTCCCTACACAGGGATGCCAGCACGGGTTCCCCGAGGAAAGGTAACGTCCAGCTTTCCTGTCCTCGAACACTCGGGGGCTCCTGTGGGACCTCGAGTGTCTTTGCAACTTGGGCCTCCACCCCAAGGTCTCGTGAAGGCCCCTGGCCCCGTCTGATGGCGGGGCCCATGCTCTGCCTGGGGTCTGGCGTCCCAGGGTTCAGAAGGCCTGGCTGGGGGAGGTCTGGTCCCAGGGCTTCCAGAAGGGCCCGGTGTATGGGGGGGTCTTGTCCCAGGGCTTCTAGAAGGGGCCCAGCTTTTGGGGGGGTCTGGTACCCGGGGGTGCAGAAAGCCTGGCTGGGGGGGGGTCTGGTCCAGGCTTGCAGCAGAAGGGCCTGGCCTTGGGTCTCGGATGCCGCAGGGCTTCCAGAAGGCCCGGCCTGTGGTCTGGTCCCAGCTGCAGACAGAGCTGGGTTTCCCAGTGACCTGGCGTCGTGCGGTCCTGCGCTCCATGCGGTTGGTCTTCCTAGTAAAGCCCTGCGTGTCGGTCCAGCGGTTCTAGAAGCCTGGGCATGGGGGTCTTGGTCCAGGGCCTAGAGACGTCCCCGGCTTGCGCGTTTCCAGCTTCCAGAAGCATGGCGGTCTGTCCCAGCTACTTAAAGGCCTGTGCTTGGTGGGGGTCTTGTCCAGGCTTCCAGAAGGGCCTGGCATGGGGGGGGGTCTGGTCCCAGGGCTTGCAGAAGGCCGTGCGGCTGCAGCTGCAGGCTGGGCACTGAGCAGGGGTGCCGCGTCCTGGCTGGGCCACCAGGGAGGGCCACAGAAACCCCCAGCCAGCTCTGGGTTGGAGGTCAGCGGGGACCGGGAGGAGGGGGACGTGGGGGGATGGGCAGGAGACTGGGGCTCTAATGGGGTCTTGGCAGCACAGCCACAGTCCCTCGCCCTCGTCCCCACGAGGGGACCCCCAAGGCTGGGGAGGGCTCAGCCCCTGCGGCTTCCTGTGCTTCCGCAGAAAGGGGAGATCTGGGCGATGCCCAACTGCTCCCAGGCCACCTGCGAGGGCCAAGACGTCATCTCCCTGCGCCCGCGCCAGTGCCCCAGGGCGGAGGAGCCCAGCTGCGCCAACGGCTACCCGGCACTGAAGGTGGCCGACGAGGACGGCTGCTGCCCGCACTACCAGTGCCAGTGTGAGCCCCCCACCAGGGCGCGGCGGGGTCTGGGGCGGCGTTGGGTGGACGCCGGGCAGGACTTCCGGCATCGAGGCAGGGGCAGGCGGGGTCGGGGTGGCAGGCAGGACCCCACGGCGCCCAGGGGAACCCCTGCCGGAGCCCCCAAGCTGTGAGCCCTGCCAGGCGGGAGAAGGGGTGGGGCCTCCCTCGAGCACCCACCCGGCAGAGGGGTGTGTTTGGGTGAAGTGGGGGGGGTCCCCGCGCCCCGGGGCTCCCGTAAGGCCGCCTTGCCGCCTGGCAGGTGTGTGCAGCGGCTGGGGAGACCCCCACTACATCACCTTCGACGGCACCTACTACACGTTCCTGGACAACTGCACGTATGTGCTGGTGCAGCAGATCACGCCCGTGTACGGCCACTTCCGCGTGCTCATCGACAACTACTTCTGCGGCGCGGAGGACGGGCTCTCCTGCCCCAAGTCCATCATCGTCGAGTACGGGCAGGACCGCGTGGTGCTGACGCGCAAGCCCGTCGGCGGGGCGATGACCAATGAGGTGGGGCCCCCCTCCCCCGTGTGGGGCCAGTGGGTGGGGCGGGGGCGTGGCCTCCCCGGGGTCCCTGAGTGGCACTGACCGCGCCCGCCCCTCTCTCCCCGCCGCCCCTCCGCTGTGTCCAGATCATCTTCGACGGCGAGGTGGTGAGCCCCGGCTTCCGGAAGAACGGCATCGTGGTGTCCCGGGTGGGCATAAAGATGTACGTGACCATCCCCGCGATCGGCGTCCAGGTCATGTTCAGCGGCCTCATCTTCTCGGTGGAGGTGCCGTTCAGCAAGTTCGCCAACAACACGGAGGGGCAGTGCGGTGAGGCCCCAGGCTGTCCCCCCTGGGCGGTGCCATGTGCGGGTGTGGCCTGGAACACTGTTCTCGGCTGTGCTGTCAGGGTGGGCTTCCTGGAGGCGGAGGAGGGCCAACCCCAGGGCACAGCACACTCGGCTCCTGTGAGAGGAAGCCTTGGCCTGGGGAGCGTGGTCATGGTCAGGCAGCGGTGGAGCCTGAGGGGCCCAGGTCCCCAGCCAGGGCCACTGGTGGCTGTGGCGGCTACTCAGTGGCACCTGCTGAGCTCCAAGAACATGCCGGCAGCGTGGGCCACACGCCTGCGCTCACACCTGCCAGGCTGTCAGTGCCGGTGGAGGGTGGGGCGATCCCCACAGCCCACGGAAAGGTGACCCTGAGCCACCAGGGCCGTGGCCCCTGGTGTGGGGACGTGGGACCCCCGTGGGGGCTGGGCGGGCTCTGCGGTCCACGGCCTGACTCTCGCCCCGTCTGGCCAGGCACCTGCACCAACGACCAGAAGGACGACTGCCGCCTGCCCGGGGGTGCCGTGGCCACCTCCTGCTCCAAGATGTCCGGCCTCTGGAACGTGACTGTACCGGGCCAGCCGTCCTGCCACGGGCCCCGCCACGCACCCACCACCGTGGCGCCCACCACCGTGGGACCCTCGTCCCAGCCAGCCACGTGCCCGCCATCCCCGCTGTGCCAGCTGATTCTGAGCAGGTGAGACCCGGGGTGGGGGTGGCCCCGCCGACCCACCCGTCCAAGGGCTGGTGGGATGCAGCAGGTCTTCACGGGCTCCCTGCCTGTGCCCTGGGGTGCCTGACTGGGGTGCCTGACGGGGGCGCAGTCTCTGAGCCTTGCCCTGTCGGTGGGGGTGCCGGTCACTGTGCTGGCAGCACAGGTGTGCGGGGCCAGGGGGCCCTGGGGCAGGGTTTGCAGAAAAACATGGGGGCCGCTGGCCCCGCCCCACTGCGCTCATGGGCCCCGAAAACGCTCCTGGAGAGGCCCAGAGACCGCCGCCGCCGTGGTATCCCCCATGGGGGCGTCATGCCGGCTGCCATCCAGAAGCCGCGTAGGGGCTGCGCCCACCACCGCGCCCTCCCCTCCCGCAGCGCCTTCGAGCCGTGCCACGCCGTGATCGCCCCGTGGCCGTTCTACGAGGGCTGCGTCTTCGACCAGTGCCACGTGCAGGACGCGGAGGTGGTGTGCTCGGGCCTGGAGCTGTACGCGGCGCTGTGCGCGGCCTCCGGCGTGTGCGTGGACTGGAGGGACCGCACCAACCACACGTGCTGTGAGTGCCCTCAGGTCGTGCCAGCCGTGAGGGGGCAGGCACTCCGGGCAGACGGTCGGCGGGTGGGCTTGGGCGGTCAGGGTGGGCTTCCTGGAGGGGGAGGAGGGTCGACCCGGAGAGAAACTCGGGGCGCCCACGGCCTTGGGTGCGGGGGAGCGTGGTCGGGTCAGGCAGCGGCAAAGCCCGAGTGGGCGCCGGTGCTCCCAGGGCCCAGCCGCTCCCCGCGCTCAGACGTGGCCCCCTGTCCCCGCAGCGCTCGCCTGCCCGGCCGGCATGGAGTACCAGCCCTGCGGCCCCACCGCCCCCACCTACTGCTACGGGAACGACATCGCCAGCGCCGCGTACGTGCCCGCCCCTCCCCCACCCGGCTCCCCCGCCCCCAGGCAGGGGCTCGGCCAACCCTCCGCTCGCTCCCCACAGGGTCCTGCGGAACGCGGGGGCCATCACGGAGGGCTGCTTCTGTCCCCACGACATGACGCTCTTCAGCGCCAGCACCCAGGCCTGCGTGCCCGCGGGCTGCCCCCGTACGTAGACCGGGCGTGGGCAGCGCGGGCGTGGCAGACCCCGGGGCCTGTCCCTGTCCCCACGTGTCCTGCCCACCGCTGACCTTGGTCCCTCTCCCCGCAGGGTGCCTGGGGCCCCGCGGAGAGCCCATGGAGGTGAGCCCAGGCCCAGAAACCGCCAGTGCGGGGCGGGGGCGGGGCCTCCTAGTGGTGTGGGGGAAGGGCGAAGCGCGACTTGGGGGGGGAGGGGCTTCGGTCCCGGCGACCCTGCCTGCCTCGCGGACGGCGCCCGGGGCTGGTGCGTGGGGCTGACCCTGAGGCTTGCCCTGCCTGTCCCTGCCCCGGACCCTCTGCCCTCTGAGGTCCGGGAGACCCCGGGTCGGGACTCACGGGTCCTCTGCCTGCAGCTGGGTGAAACCATCAGCGTCGGCTGCCAGGAGTGCACCTGCGAGGGGGCCACCTGGACTGTGAGCTGCCGGAAGAAGTCCTGCCCGCCGTCCCCCGCCTGCCCCCTTCCCGGGCTCGTGCCTGTGCCCCTGGCCCCTGTGGCCGGCCAGTGCTGCCCTGGGTACAGCTGCGGTAAGGCGCCTGCCGGGCGGGGACACCTGTTGCCCCACCCCTGCCGGCCGCGCAAGGCCCGGCCCCTCCGGCTGCGCAGCCTGCCCTGGCCGCACGGCACCGCCAGAGGGCGTCCCTGGCCGGGTCGCGTGGGGGCCCATCCCGCCAAAGCCTTGTGGGGTGTCCCTGGAGCCCGATGTGGGGGAGGGGCCCTCCGCCCTGGCTGGCCCCCCCCAGAGACCCCCCAAGCCCTGGGGCCAGGCTGGGTGCAGCAGGGCGCAGACTGCCGACACCCCCACTCCCTCCCTCCCCACAGTATGCAACTCCAGCCACTGCCCGAGGCCCGTGGAGTGTCCCCCGGGCTCCCGCCGCGTCCTGACCCACGAGGAGGGGGCCTGCTGCCCCACCCAGAACTGCAGTGAGTGTCCCCGACCGGGCACCTGGCTTCGCTGGGCGCGGCAGGCAGGGGACCCCGCCTGGGAGTTTTCGGGGCTTAACCAGGCAAAGCCGCAGCTCACCCACCGCGGGTCTGCGGCCGCGGCGGCGCCCTTAGCAGGGAGGGGCCTGGAACTGCGGGCCCGAGCGTCAGGCGCGGGCAGGGGGTGGTGGGGTCTCTGCTTGGCCGGCTGCAGCCTGTTTGTCTCCCCTGGGCAGGCTGGACGGTTTGCAGCGTCAACGGGACTCTGTACCAGGTGAGAGCCAGCTGGGCGCAGACCCTAGGGCACGGGGACGGAGCTTCCCGCCCGCCCTGGTCTCCTGCCAGCCCCTCGGAGCAGACTCAGGGCGGGCGGGGCACCTCCTCCCTCTGGGGCCCGGGACTGCGTCTGCGAGTGCAGCCTGCGCAGCGTGGCTGAGGCCCGAGGCCAGCCCCGCACACCTGGAGGGGTGCATACCTGTGTGCCAGGGCCAGCCTGGGCCTCCACGCCCTCAGCATCCACGGTGCCAGCCAGCCCGGACCCCACGTCTCCATTCGGAATGCGCCAAGGCCCCCAGCTGGGCCCTACAGTGTGTCATCTTGCTGGGGCTGCAGCGTAGGGCCCCTGGGCTGTGGTCTCTGGGCCAGGAGTTTCCGCCAGGGACCGCCCAGGGGAGTGGGGGCGGGGCCGGGAGGCACCCTCCCCCAGCCGCGCTTACTACCGCCCATCCCCCCTGGCTCTCCCTAGCCCGGCGCAGTGGTCTCCTCCAACCTGTGCGAGACCTGCAGGTGTGAGGTGGCCGGCGGCCCCCAGGCAGACACACCTGTGGTCACCTGCGAGACCCAGATCTGTGACACCCACTGCCCCACGGTGAGCACTGTGCAGGCCTGCCCTTGCCCGCCCTCCCCCACCCCCCCGCAGCCAGCCAGGGCTCAGGCCACACGTCCCCATCTCCCTCAGGGCTTCGAGTACCAGGCGCAGAGCGGGCAGTGCTGTGGTGCCTGCGTGCAGGTGGCCTGCGTCACCAACTCCAGCGGCAGCCCCGCCCACCTCTTCTACGTGAGTAGCGGCTGCCACGTGGCTGGGCGGCGTCGGGGCACAGCCTGGCTCGGGAGCCCTGGGCGGAAGCTGCACCACCGGGCTGGGGCGGACGGAGGGACGGACAGAGGGTGGTGCCGGGGTGGGGGGGACTCACGGACCCGGCTCCCTCGCAGCCTGGGGAGACCTGGTCAGACCCCAGGAACCGCTGCGTGACCCACGAGTGTGAGAGGAGCCAGGACGGGCTCGTGGTGGTGACCACACGGAAGGCGTGTCCCCCGCTCAGCTGTGCTCTGGTGAGTTCTGGGCCCGGGGGCGGGGGGTGTCCCCGACAGGGACGTCACCTCCTGCGTGGGGGCTGCCGCTCCCCCCTGAGCCGGCCCGGCTCCCGGCCTGTCCCCGCTGGGCTGCCGCGTCCTCCCCTCCCCGCACTGACCGGCCCTTTCCGGCACAGGACCAGGCCCAGCTGGGCGAGGACGGCTGCTGCCTCTTCTGCCCCCCACCCCAGCCCAGTAAGTGCACGTGTCTGCCGGGGGCGGGGACGGGGCGGTGTGGGATCTGCCCAGGGAGGTCCAGGAGCGGCCTAACCCCTGCCCCGCGGATTCCGTCCCCAGAGTCGACCTGCGGCGTGTTCCACAAGCAGCAGCTCATCCGGCAGCGGGACTGCAGCTCCGCGGAGCCCGTGCGCCTGGCCTACTGCCAGGGCGACTGCGGGGACACCGGCTCCATGTGCGTGAGCCCCGCCTGGCAGCTCCTGGCAGCGTCCCGGGAATGCGTGGTTGCCCAGGGCGCGGCGAGCCCCGGGGCTGGGGGCGGGGCAGAGAGGGGCCTGCGGTGTGAGCACAGGGACAGGTCTGGGCGGCTCTGAGCCCCGGGGCCGGGATTTCGGGGCTCCCCCCTCGGTCACTCGCTGTAGCCGCTCCTGCGTCTGCCCCGGAGGGAGTCCTCGCACCTTCGCCCGCGAGAGTCCGGGTCACACGCTGGCCTCCGGCAGAGGGGGCGGGGACAAGGCCGTGGAGCATGCGTGGTGCCTGGCGCGCGGCGCAGGCTCCGGGTGCTGAGCGGGCCCCGCCCACAGGTACTCGCTGGAGGCCAACGCGCTGCAGCACAGCTGCAGGTGCTGCCAGGAGCTGCGCACCTCGCGGAGGAACGTGACGCTGCACTGCCCCGACGGCTCCCGCCGGGCCTTCAGCTACGTCATGGTGGAGGAGTGTGGCTGCGTGGGCCAGCGCTGCGCCTCGCCGGGGGACACCAGCCACGAGGGGGAGCCGGAGCCCGAGTGGAGCGAGGAGGAGCACAGCAGCCAGGAGACGGGCGGCTGGAGCCGGCGAGCAGGGGCCCAGGGCCCCCCTGCCCACTGACCTGTGCCCCAGAGAACGTCCTCCGAGTCCTCGGGTCTTGGCTCCCAAGGCCAGAGGAACTGGGGCCCTTGTCCGGTGAGGAGCTGGGAACACAGCCACCCCGGCACTCGCCGGGCAGCCCCTGCGGCCTGCAGACACCTGCTCAGGCAGAGCCCGGGGCCGGTGGGGGCTCCTCTGCCACGGGTCTAGCCTGCCAGTTCGGGGCTTAAGCACCACGTGAGGGTCTCACGAATGACTGTCAGTGATGTGGCTACCAGGAGGTAGAGCCCCACGCTACCTCAGCCCCAGGTCTGTGTTCCCTCCCCAGGAAGTGGCCAAACTGTTTCATAAATATACTTTAAGCATTTTGCAATTCCTGGACTCTGCATTTTTTAGCTTGTCCGTGAAGCCCAGGAACAGGGGGGTGGCAGACCCAGCCCTGAGGACCACCCAGGGGAACCTGCTGCCCCCGTCTACACGGTGGGAGGGTGTCCATCTGCTCAGAGAGGAGAGCAGCCTGACCTTGGGTCTGCCCCAAGATGTGACTGTGATCCTGCAGAGGCCCTTGAGGGCCTGGCTGCAGCCTCAAGTCAAGGAAGCATCTGGGCAGAGCTCAGTGAGTCAATGAGTGAGCGCATGGGTGAGTGAGTGAATGAATGAATGAGTGCATGGATGAGTGAGTGAATGAATGAATGAGTGAGTGAATGAATGAGTGCATGGATGAGTGAGCATATAGATGAGTGAGTCGATGAGTAAGTGAGCGCATGGATGAGTGAGTCAATGAGTGCATGGATGAGTGAGTGAGTGAATGAATGAATGCATGGATGAGTGAGTGAGTGAATGTATGAGTGCATGGGTGAGTGAGTGAGAAAGTGAATGCATGGATGAATGAATGAGTGCATGAATGAGTGAGTGAATGAATGAGCACATGGATAAGTGAATGAATGAATGAGTGAGCACATGGGTGAATGAATGACTGAATGAAAGTGCATGGATGAATGAGCATATAGATGAGTCAATGAGTAAGTGAGCGCATGGATGAGTGAGTGAATGAATGAGTGCATGGGTGAGTGAGTGAATGAATGAGTGCATGGATGAGTGAGTGAATGAATGAGTGCATGGGTGAGTGAGTGAATGAATGAGTGCATGGGTGAGTGAGTGAATGAATGAGTGCATGGGTGAGTGAGTGAATGAGAAAGTGAATGCATGGATGAGTGAATGAATGAGTGCATGGATGAGTGAGTGAATGAATGAGTGCATGGGTGAGTGAGTGAGTGCATGGGTGAGTGAGTGAGTGAACACATGGGTGAGTGAGTGAGTGAGCACATGGGTGAGTGAGTGAACACATGGGGAGTGAATGAATGAGTGCATGGGTGAGTGAGTGAATGAATGAGTGCATGGGTGAGTGAGTGAATGAATGAGTGCATGGGTGAGTGAGTGAATGAGAAAGTGAATGCATGGATGAATGAATGAATGAGTGCATGGATGAGTGAGTGAGTGAATGAGAGTGAGCACATGGGTGAGTGAATCAATGAGTGAGCACATGGGTGAGTCAGTGAATGAGTGAGGGAATGAGAGTGAGCACATGGGTGAGTGAGTGCATGGGTGAGAGAATGAGTGAACACACGGGTGAGTGAGTGAGTGAACGCATGGGTGAGTGAGTGAGTGAATGCATGGGTGAGTGAGTGAGTGAGTGCATGGGTGAGTGAGTGAGTGAGCACATGGGTGAGTGAGTGAGTGAACGCATGGGTGAGTGAGCACATGGGTGAGTGAGTGAGCACATGGGTGAGTGAGTGAGTGAGCACATGGGTGAGTGAGTGAGTGCATGGGTGAGAGAATGAGAGTGAACACATGGGTGAGTGAGTGAGTGCATGGGTGAGTGAGTGAACGCATGGGTGAGTGAGTGAGTGAGC